CCACGGCCTCCTTTAACTCTAACCTGCAAAGTAATGGGAGCCCTTTGTTTGGGAAGCGTTAATACATGTCTCGATATTGCAGAATGCCATCAATGGTTAGGTAAAATGTGTATACTAGAACATCAGTGACACTGGGTAGTCCTAGGTTGTGATAATTTTTTTTATAGTTGGCATTCCATTTTATTAGTAATATCCATTATTTCCATACAGAGTCAACTACGAGATTTTCTGTGTGGCAGACAGTCCACAGTAGATGATGAAACTGGTCTTTCTGTACCGACATCACCAATGAGTAAACACAAACAGGATAATGGAAAGGTTCTCATAAATTGCGCGTAAATTAAGGCAGGATAGTATCCCTGCAACTCACAAGGAACCGCCGGGCCCGGCCTGTTTCTGTTGCTCTCCCGTCCCGGCCCCGCCCTCCGCGTGTGCGGAGGCTGGGGCTCCCGCGCCGGTGGGCATTGAGGCTTGGCTGTTTCCAGGAGCCGGCCGCCGTGCCGCTGACCAGCCGCGGACCGGACCCTGGATGGGAACCCTGTTCCCATCGCCGGCGGCGGAAGCTCCGGGTGGGAGAGGAGCAGAGGCGGTCAGATGCAGGTAACGCGGGCGCAGACCCTAGGCGACAGCTTCCCGCCCTGCGAGAGGCGAGGCGCTCCAGCCAGGGAAGGGGGGCCCCTCGGCTCCAAGACCCCGACTCCGCGCCCAGCTGCATCCAGGAGCCTCCAGACCTTTTCGTTGGCACAGAAAGGACAACGCAGCGGGCAGCTGTGTGCCGGCCGCCCTGCTTAAGAAACGAACAGAGTCGAAACCTTCCGGCTGTTCTGCCTCGGTCCCAGCCCTCCCCCTGCTCCCCTGAAGCCGCAATGTCCCGTAGGCTTATTGGCACCTGAAACCGCACAGAGTCAGGTTGGCCGGCGTGGTGGCAGGTCGGACGGGCAGCCTCCTGCGGGTGGCAAGTGCAGCCTGGTGCCCGCTCCTCTGGTGCAGTCTCGGGTGGGAATGACCAGCCCTGGCACCGCTACCTGCTCTGTGGCAGGCTGCCCACCCCCTCGCCTGCTGAGCTCTGACTCCCGAAGGGGCTGGTCCGTTCCTGCCCGAGCCAGGACCTTACTGGTCCCGAATGTAACTTGTGAAATGTGGTTACTTTGTAGACCAAGTACACGCTGATAGACGAGCAGGACATCCCGCTGGTGGAGGGCTACTCCTTCGAGGTAAGGGCGGGGCCCCCTTGCCAGCCTGCGGGGGTGGGAGGGCCGGGAAGCCCCCTGCAGAGCCCGGCTCGCGCTGCCTCCGTGGCACTCCTCCTCCCCAAGGGCCGCCCTGATCGCTTCTCCTCCCGAAGAAGAGACCAGTTGTGTCACATTCGTGACCGAATTCAACTGGACAAGCCCGGGTGCCTTAGGAGACTGTCCCCCCACCTCCCTCTGCCCGGGCCCTGGCCCTCCTCGTGCCCTGTGCTCCTTCCTCTCATCTTCCTGGCGCCCTTGCCTTCCACTGCCGCTGCCTGACCAGCTTCTGTTCACGCCCGGCCCCCAGCGCTCCTCCCTCCCTGACATCCTCGGGAGACGACCCACACACTCCTGCCGCGGCTGCTGGTGCAGGGGGCGCCTCTCGCTGGCTGTGGGCTTTTGTAAGGGCAGGGAAGCTCGTTTCTCTCTGTCCACAGCATTGTGCACAGTGGCTCGTCCCTCGTGCGGTGTGTTGGGGCCTCCCAGGGTCCCAGCAGCAGACCCGCTCCGTCCCTCCGCCTCACTCACGCCACTCGGTTTCTCTAAGAGGAATTTGAACGGCTGCCGCGAATCGGAGGCTTCTCAGCAGCCCTGTGCCTGTTCCTCCTCAGGCCAGGATGGAAGTGGACGCAGACGGAAACGGGGCTAAGATCTTCGCGTACGCCTTCGACAAGAACCGGGGAAGGGGCTCGGGCCGGCTGCTGCACGAGTTGCTGTGGTGGGTATTTCCAGGCTGCTTGCTCCCCCTGGTCCTGCATGAACCTGGCGCACACGGGGTCGGGGAGCCAGGGCGGCCTCTGCTGGCTCAGGGAGGGGCCGCGTGCTGTGGCCCCAGCGGCCACCTAGGTCTCCAGACCACGTGCTCTTCTGCTCGCAGCTCACTGGGCCGTCATAGCCTCCCAGGGTGGGTGGGGTCTGGTCCCTGCCGGCTCTTTCTTTTTTATTATTTTTTTATTGTCTAAAGTTTCACATGTGTCTTCTTTTCCCCCCAATTGACACCCCCCCCCCCAGCCATTCCCACCCCGGGCAAGCCCCCACCGCCCCAGTGTCTGTGTCCATTGGTTATGCTAATATGCCTGCCGGCTCTCGCTGAGCCTGTTGGTGGGACGTGGGGAAGCGGCGGCCTTTCTTGGTGTGCACAGGGGGGCCGCTCAGAGGGGTGTCTCTAGACTGTGCTGCAGGGCTTGGGGTTCCCGCCTTGGCTCCCTGCAGCCCACCCAGCTCTTCCATCCAAGGGCTAAACTGTCAACCTGTCTGGTCCTGTTTGGGCCACGGACTGGCACCCTGGTTCCCCTGGGCATCGTCACTCCTGGCGTGTGCCCGTCAGTGTGCGAGGGGCAGTTCAGATCGCGTGGCGGACACGTGGGGCTGTCTGGAGGCGGGTCGAAGAGTGTTTGTTTCTAGGGAGCGGCACAGGGGCGGCATCGCTCCCGGGTTCCAGGTTGTGCATCTCAACGCGGTGACCGTGGACAATCGCCTGGACAACCTGCAGCTGGTGCCGTGGGGCTGGCGGCCCAAAGCGGAGGAGACCTCCAGCAAACAGAGGTGGGTCTTCCCAGCTGGCCAGGCGGCAGGGCGGCGCCGAGGACCGCCCGCTCTGGTCACCAGGCCCACGTCCCCGCTCTGCTCTGATGCTGCTGGGGTTCAGGGACCTTGCTATCGTCCCTCGACGTGGGGGGACCTCCTGTTCTTGGAGGCAGGTGAGGTCCTGATGCTTCTCTTTGGGAGGGTCACCCGATGACGGGCTCTGTCGGGAGCAGCGTTGTCTGGGCTGGACGCCTGCACGTGGCAGGACTGCTCCCTGTCCCCGAGGCCGGTGAGGTGTCTGCAGCTCGCTGTGCACACAGACAGGTCTTTTTGTCACTCTCCTTGCCCAGCAGTTTACGCAGTGGTTGAGGGAAGCAGGCGGTGTGGACTGGGGGCGTGGTCTCCTCTCTGAGTCCTGCAAACAGCGCTTACTCTCAGGACAGCGCAGGCATCCGCCTGGTGGGAAGGCTGCTCTGAGGGCAGTTCCTGCGGCCCGGGGGGCGCCCAGCTCTGAGCTTCGTGGAGCCCGTTGAACGAGCGGGGGGACCAGCAGCAGGACGGGGGCTGGGAGCTGACACTGGTTGCTGACACGAGCCAGGGGGTCTCTGGCCACACGTGCATTCCAGGCTCAGAGGGCTCCCTGGGGTTTCTGCGTGTCCTCAGGCCTCTGGGCAGCTGTTCCCGGCGGTGGTGGTGACTCCCAGCAGACAGACGTCAGTGAGACGGTGGCTGCGCAGTTGTCATCCTCACGGTCTTGCCAGAGCCTGAGTTGCGGACGTGGGAGCGGCAGGGTGCAGAGGCCAGGTGTAGGGGTGGTCCCCAGGCGCTCAGGACGAGAGAGGCAGGGCTGGGGCCAAGCCTCTACGTTCTCTCCTCTGATGATAGAGTATGGCCCTAAAATTCCCTGATCTTGAGGGAAACTGACCCTTCTGTAATAGTTATCCTCCTAGATTTTTGGTTGAAAGTGACAGATCCCTGGCTGATAGGTCAGTTGGCTGATAGGTCAGTCGCCAACCGGTGGCCCACGGATCGCTGGTGGTCTGTGAGGTCCGAGAGGTTGGCGACTGCTGGGTTGGAGCATTGGCCTGATGGGCAAGTTTCCTACAGACTCAACCAATGAATACAAAAATGAGTGGAACAAGACATGTATCTCTCTCCCCCTTCCTGTCTCTCTCTCAAATCAATAAATTAAAAACAAAAAAGGAAAGAGCCCTGGCTGGTGTGGCTCAGTGGATAGAGTGTCAGCCTGCAGACTGAAGGGTCCTGGGTTTGATTCCAGTCCAGGGCACGTGCCTGGGTTGCAGGCTTGGTCCTCAGTGGGGGACATGCAAGAGGCAGCCCATCGATGATTCTCTCTCATCATTGATGTTTCTGTCTCTTTCCCTCTCCCTTCTTCTCTGAAATCAATAAAATATGTTTTTTTAAAAAATGTATTTTCATCGATTTTTTACAGAGAGGAAGGGAGAGGGATAGAGAGTTAGAAACATCAGTGAGAGAGAAGCATCGATCAACTGCCTTCTGCACACCCCCTACTGGGGATGTGCCCGCAACCAAGGTACATGCCCTTGACCGGAATCGAACCTGGGACCCCCAAGTCCGCAGGCCGACGCTCTATCCACTGAGCCACACCGGTTAGGGCTAGTTTGGTTTTTTTAATAGCAGCCATGACTGGTGTGAGTCGGTATCTCATTGTAGTTTTGCATTTTCCCGACACGAGTGATGTTGAGCATATTTTCATGGGCTTTTGGGCCATTTGTATGTCTTTGGAGAATGTGTGTTCAGATTCTTTGCCTGTAAATTGTGTTATTTTGTTGAATTGCAGTTCTTCATGTCCTCTGTAATCCATGATCAGGCCTATGGTTGGCAAATCTTTCCCTCGTTTTGTGGGTTACTCTGGACAGTATCTTTTGATGCACAAAATTTTTAGATTTTGTGAAGTCCAATGTGTCTGTTTTCTCTTTGTCACCTGTGGCTTGGTGTCATATCCAAGAAATGGTTGCCAAGTCAAGGTAGTGCAGCTTCTGTCCTGTGTTTGAGTCTGAGAGATCTTGTGTTTGAGGTATTATGTTTAGGTCCTTGGTTCATTTTGAGTTAATTTTTGTGTATGGTGTTAGGTGAGGGTGACCCTTCCCTTTCCTCTTTTTTTAAAAAAAATGTTTTCATTGATTTTTACAAAAATACAAGGAGAGGGAGACAGAGATAGAAACATCACTGATGAGCGAGAATCACCCGCTGGCTGCCTCCTGCACGCCCCACACTGGGGATCAAGCCCGTAACCCCGGGCATGTGCCCCGACTGGGAATCGAACCAGTGACCTCTTGGTTCCTGGGTCGATGCTCAACCACTGAGCCACACCGGCCGGGGCCCCTTCCCTCTTTTACCCGAGTCCCCACAGGCCTGGGGGTTAAACTTCTCTGGAAGGTCCCGGTGCTGCCTGTCAGGGCGCCTCGCTCTGGAGCCCGGTTGCAGCCCTGCTGTCCACTCACACAGAGCGGTGTTTAGAAGGAGGCGGGGCAGCACAGCATCGGGGCAGGAGGAGCAACCGGAGGCAGAAGCAGGCACTGCTGGGGCCCTGAGCAGGGAGGGGACTGCCTGCCGGCTCGGGTGGCGGGCGCGGCTGGGTCCTGAGGCTGGGTCCTGTGCCTGCGTGGCCCTCGTGCAGGAGACCCAGCCCTGCTCTTCGCCTTTCAGTGGGGAGACCACGTGCTACAAAGTAGGTCACGTGGAGATGAGCCCACCGTGCGGGTGGGGTCTTCTGAGCAAGAGGACACAGGTGGCCATCCTGGGGTCCTGCCTCCTCCCCTGTGCCTGGAGCTGGGCCCCTTCTCCTCCAGGGAGCAGAGCTTGTACTGGCTCGCAATCCAGCAGCTTCCCACGGACCCCATCGAGGAGCAGTTCCCCGCGCTGAGCGCCACGCGGTACTACAACGCCAACGGGGACGTGGTGGAGGAGGAGGAGAGCTCCTGCACCTACTACGAGTGCCACTACCCGCCCTGCACGATGATCGAGAAGCAGGTACGGCCGCTCCACTCCGTCCCCTTGGGCCCCTCGGGCCTCCTCAGCCGCGGGGCCGGGGGCCGGGTCCTCCCGTCAGAGGTAGTCCCTCCGCGGGACCAAAAGGCCACCTGCTCTGCTTTCAGCTCCGGGAGTTCAACATCTGCGGGCGCTGCCAGGTGGCCCGGTACTGCGGCTCGCAGTGCCAGCAGAAGGACTGGCCCGCCCACAAGAAGCACTGTCGGGAGAAGCGGCGCCCCTTCCAGCACGAGCTCGAGCCGGAGCGGTGACTGGGCAGCGGCAGCACGGCCCTGCGGCTCCAGGCCTGCCCCGGCACCGGGACACGGAGTGGGGAGCCTGGTGTGGAAGAAGCCGGCGCCCGGAGCGGCAGCGGCGGCGGCGGCCCTGGCTGCGGGCACTTGGCGGGGCCCAGCGCTCCCCTGGAAGTGCTCCTCCAGTAGAGACAGCTGGGAGGCTCCCGCCAGGATGCTTCTCGTTATTTATATGTTAATATGTTTGTAAACTCATGTACAGTTTTTTGGGGGGGAGGCCGTGGGGGTTAGGAATTACAAATAGAATCATTTGCCGTCATCCTCAAGCAGCAGGCGGTCAGGCCAGTGGCTAAAACTGTCAGGGAGCAGGAGCCGGCCCAGGAGCGCGGCCTCGGGCGTGGCATCTACTAGGAAAGTAAAGGGCAGTCACCTAGCACCTGCTCTGCACTCCTCCTTTCCTGCCGAGCCTGTTTCCGAGTGGGCCGGGCCCTGGGGTGGGGGGCACCCGCCTCCATCCTAGGCTTCTCCCGAGAGGGAGGCCCAGACCCACTGTCCTGTGGCTGTGGAGCCGACCCAGGGGATCGCAGCCCAGCTCTGCAGTTCTCGCCTGGGCTCACTGAGTGGCCGGCAGCTCCGTGGGGGCTCGGCCGGCAGGTCTCAGGCCCTGCCTGTGAACAGCGACCAGGAGGATGGGAGGTCTACCCCTCACTCACCGGGCTGGGCCTCCGCCCTCCCTGGAGCCACAGATGTCGGAGCCGGGCCGCCTCTGCCCTGTGGCAGCACGCCTTGCACGGCCACCCTGGGGCAGTGAGCTGGGCTGTGTGGTTGGCATCTGGCAGGAGGGTGAGGCTGGCCCTCCAGTGTGACTGTCTGGAGGTCCTGCTACGCTCCATGGCAGCTCTTCTGTGTGCCCACTGCATCCCTGGCTGGGCAGCCCCGTGCTGGCCTCTGGTCCTCCTGAGCTTCCTGTCGCTCCTTGCATGCGTGGTGTCCGGTGTGTGTGTCCCGGAGAACAGGACCGGGAACGTGACGGAGCACACCGGGAAAGCAGGGCTGTTCTCAGCCTGCAGGAGGGTTTTCTGAACGTGAGGACTCCGTATCCCCACACACTTGTTTGTCCCAGAAGCTCCTTTGCGGCTGCAGGTCAGGCGTGGGATTTCCTGGGTCCGAGCCAGTTTTGCTGCACCCGGGAGGTCTGTTCAGGTCCCTCCAGACTCTGGGTTGGGCAGTGATGGGCTCAGAACCAATGGGGACAGTAACATGTGATCCTGAAAGACGGTTGTCCCTACAGCTGGTTTGAGCTCTTGGGACATTCTCAGGTGACTCCTTCCAGAAGCCAGTTCTGGCCAGGACAGTTGGGGGCGGGGCCTATATAGGTGGGCGTGTTGCGTTTGGATGGTCTTCCCGGCACCGGCCCCAAGTGCTCAGCAGTTGCTCTCAAACAAAGGTTCCTGGGCAAGGAGGCACCAGGCTGCCGGCCGTGGGTTTTGCCTGTCCTTTGGGGAGTGGCCAGGGTGGTGTCCAGCCGGTCTACACCCCCTGACCAGCACACAGTGCTCTGCGGTCAGCCATTTGTCAGAAAACCGCATGGGAAGGGCGGTGCCCAGGGTCTGCTGACCACAGCGCCCACTGGGTCCTGACACTTGGCTGCTTTCTACGGTGTCTGGTGGCGCTCGGGCATAGCCTTGCCCTGGGGATCGCTGTCAGCCATGGAGCTGGAGCCACTGGAGGCAGCCAGCCCATAGCTGATGTCCATGTGTCCAGTCTGTGCTGGTGAAGGGCCTGGGCTGGAGCTGGGAATGTGGCCTTGGCCTGGAGTTGTCCCTGCAGCAGTTCCTTCCCTGTGCTCATGTCTCCACCGTGGCACCCGGAGCAGGCGCTATTGGGAAGGTGCCATTGGTCCACAGGCTGTCCACTAGCTTCCCTTGTCCACTGCCTGGTACCCAGCCCCAACCTCTTGATCTTTGTAGCCACGCAGCTGAGAGCCTCTATGAAGCCCATTCAGAGGGTTCGTTCACTGCAGGGCTTGTTTCTAACCTGTTGGGAGTGTGGCGGGCGGGCTGTTGACCCTCGTTTGTCCCAGATAGAAAAACATCTCTTTTCGGGGACACTACAGCCCATAGCAGGGTCCGAGACTTGTCTTCCCTCCTAACTCTTCAACGGTGTCAGCGTCCTCTAGCCTCCCGGGTTGACCATGGCTGTGCTGGCCACTCCCTTATTTCCTAAATCTAAGTGGCGGGGGACCCCTGCCCTCCCTGGACGCTGGCTGTTCTCCGTGCACCTGCACCTGCTGCCAAGGGCCTGGGCTCCCCTCGAGGGCCCGGGCTCCCTCTGCACCTCCAGCTGGGCCTGTGTCCTCTCCCGCTGCCCTGGTGGGCAGGCCTGCGTCCCCGCTGCGCCCACTTGTCTTACTGGGTGGGCAGGAGGGAAGGAGGGCAGCCGAACCCCAGCTCCTTCCACCCTGGACTCCGCTGCATGAATGTCTCTAGCCCTTTGCACGCTTCCACCCTCCTCCGCTCCCCTCGTGGGCCCAGCTGTCCTGCCAAACCCCAGGCAGGGGGCGCGCCCTGGCACGTGGGGCCGGCTGGGGTCCGCCGGCCGGAAGGGGGCGCAGGAGCCTGGCTTTACGAGGGGCGGCAACGGCGGCCGGAAGTCCCTCCCCGGCACACCGGAAGGAGTCGGGAGGGGAAGAAGTACTTCCTCCCACGCTAGGGTTCCGTCCCCAGACCCCGACCCCGCTGTCACCCCGGCCTCTGCCCGCCCCGCGTGGCAAACTGGCCTCGCCACCCCACCACCGCAAGTGGGTCCCCGGCGCGCCCGACGGCTGGGAGCCGGGCGGCCCCGTGCAGCTGCTGCAGGCGGTGGACACGGAGTACACGGCGGACGCGGTGGAGTGGTGCCCGTTGGAAGGCTGCAGGCACGTGCTGGCCTGCGGCACCTACCAGCTGCGGGAGCCGGAGGACGAGGTGCGCGGGCCCGGCCCTGGCGTCTGGCCGTGCTCCCCGGCGTGTAGCCGCGCGCAGGGGGCCTGGGAGGGCGAGATGCGGCTCCCGGGGCCGAGCACCCCGCCCCCATGGCCAGACCTCTCTGCAGCCGGGGGGCTGAAAGGCGCCCCCTGTGGAGTCACAGGAGGCGGCGGTGCGACGTGGGCCTTGTGGCTGGGGGTAGGCCCTGTGTGCAGCGCGGCTCCAGCTGATGGGTCAAGTCTCCAGTAAAGAGGAAGTGGGGTTGTGTAGGGACTGCACCCCATCTGTGGGAACAGACCTGGGGGCCCAACAGGACCCTGGGGGGTGACAGCTGGCGCCGGACGCAGGCCTCCGCCAGGACTGCCCTGCGCGGCCCTGAGCTCAGCTGGCCCCGTTGGCTGGTGTAGGAGGCTCTGCGCTGGGCCCGCACATCGCACGCCCGTGGGAGGGACATGCTCCAGCTCAGAAAGTCGGGGCAGCTCGCAGGCAGGATCCGCTCCCCACCTCTTTCCCTCGCCCCGCCCCACCGGCAGCCTGGGTCGGGGTCACCTGGACACCTCTGCATCCTTTGTAGAGCGAGCAGGACGTCCCTGAGCCTCAGGCCCGGCTGGGCCGTCTCTACCTGTACAGCTGCAATGACCGCTCTGCTTGCTCTGTGGCTGAGATCCAGAGAACAGACACGGCTGCCATCCTGGACATGAAATGGTACGAACTCGCTAGCAGCCCCGTGGCCTGTATCTTGTCACTGGCAGGGAGCCCGATGCCTGGCAGCACCCCACAGACGGGCAGCCTCTGAGCTGTGGCTTGTGTCTTTGCTGTCCTGCCCACCTGCGGGCGCTTGCGGGGTGACGCAGCCTTGGGGTTCATTTCCTTTGTGGGTCTCCGAGCCCCAGAGTCAGGATCGTTCTGAGAAGTGGTGCTGGTGTTATGGTTCATCAGCTGGGAATCTTGTTGGAACGGGGTTGTAGGCTCCAAAACAGTGTAGGGGCTTCCGTGTGAATGGTAAGTTCCTGGGGTGCACTATGCTGTCCCGTGTCCCGTTCTGACTGGCACGTGAACTCCCCCCTCAGGTGCCACGTCCCGGTGGCCGGCCATGCCCTCTTGGCTGTGGCCGATGCTGATGGGCTCATAGGGCTGTACCAGCTGCTGGGGTCCAAGGTCAGTGGCTGGGGACGGGCGTCTCGGGGCTGGAGGGGACGCGATGGAGAGGGTGTGGGAGGGAGCGTCTTCGGGGTCACTCTGCCGGAAGTCTGGCACGCAGCGGTCTAAGGCAGCGCACAGCCCGCTTTAAAGTATCGGGTTCTGCCTCTCACTCGGAGAGGAGGTCACTTACGTGTCACCGCAGAAGGGCTGAGGCGACGGGCTGCTGGCTTACCTGTCGGTGGGTCTGAAAGGCCGTCTGTAAGGAGAGCCTGGACCACCGTTCTTTTTTTTTTTTTTTAATATATTTTTATTGATTTCAGAGAGGAAGGGAGAGGGAGAAACATCGATGATGAGAATTACTGATCAGCTGTCTCCTGCACGCCCCCCACTGGGGATCGAGCCCACAACCATGACCTCCTGGTTTATAGGTCGGGGCTCAACCATTGAGCCGCACCGGCCGGGCAGCAGTGACTCTTACGTGGGACTGACCCTTCTCAGCGACAGTTGGGAGAGCACCCAACCACTGCGGGGACTTGCTGGGTGTTTGACAGCAGCCCTGACCATTGCGAGTCCTGCGGGGAGGAGAGTGGACAGCCCCCAGGGCCATGCCTGCTCTGGAGCACACGGCCTGCGGAGAGGGCTGGAGCAGAGGCCCAGGGGCGCCGGGTTCGGGTTCGTGGCAGCGGAGGGCTCCGGTGGAAAGGCCTTGCTCCTGGCCTCGGGGAGCAGCAGCCTGTCCTGGGAATGAGGGAGGAAGACGGGACCCAGGGACCGGATCGAGGCAGGAGCCCTAAACCGGGAGCCGCCTGAGGGGCAACTGCTGGGAGCCTGTGGGTGGGGTTAAGCGGTCCAGGTTGCATAATAAAACCTACCTGGATCTTAGGAGAGAGACAGCACTTCGTGGCCAGTCGTGGCTTTTGAAAAGGAACCCAGAGGAAAGTGTCTGTGACTCTGAAGGCCCAGCAGCCTGGGGAGCTGAGGGCGGCCACCAGGGCCCTTCCAAGCCACATAGGGGAGTGAGAGCTTGGGGGGCGGGAGGGGAGCACGGGCAGCAAGGGGCTGAGGAGGGAGGCTGCTTCCCCAAGGTCGCGGCTGGGAATCCCTCCCGCAGGTGTGTGAGCTCTCAGGTCTCCCAGTGAGTGCAGACCTTCACCTGGGAGTGAAGGAGGGCGAGAGGGCGTGGTGGCCGCCGGAGCTGGAGGCTGACCTCCAGGGTCCCGGGCCGCCCTGACGCGGTCTCTCCCCCAGGAGACCACCTACACCCTGCAGCCGTTTGCCAGCTTTGCCCTGAGCAAGCAGTGTCTGGCCTTGTCCCTGGATTGGTCCACTGGGAAGGCGGAAAGGTAAGGGCCCCTCTTCGAGCTCATGGCTCATTCCTGCTTTCACGCGGGAGCATTGGCACCACCTGCGCTGCCCCGGCTGCGGCTCCCCAGACCCGGGGGTGTCACGCCAGCCCCCCGAAAGGACGGAAATACCAGCCTTCTAGATGAAGGGCGGGGTCTCCACCAGGAGAGGCTGACACTGACATGTCCACAGGCTGAGTGGGAGCTCCGCTCTGCCAGGTGCCCAGGCACCTGCTTACAACGAGCCACGTGCCAGGCCATGCAGAGCCTCTCCCGGGACAGGCTGGGGGCACAGCGTGTCACTGCTCGGGAACCTGAAGAGGTGATGAGTTGGGTCTGGGTGAAGGTCAGCGGGTTCTCCATTGCCTCCCTGTGTCTAGGACCAGTCACCAGCCCTTAAAAATCATCAGCAGCGACTCCAAGGGCCAGCTGCACCTCCTGAGGCTGGATGAGGTGGGGTCCGGGCTGCACGAGGTGGCCACCTGGCAGGCCCACAGCTTCGAGGCCTGGATTGCAGCTTTCAATTACTGGCAGACGGACGTGGTGTATTCAGGTGGGTCTCCTGCGCTGGGCGGCGGTCACACGTCGGCATCACGCTCCCTCTCCGAACACCAAACGTGTGCTGGGAGGAGCGAGCACACGAGGCGGTCGGGCCCTGACCCTGGCCTCGCTGGGATCTGAGACCCTGTGTGCAGAATGCGCTTTCTGGGGCCAAAGCTGTGGCTGGTCCCACCTCTCAGCACAGCGGCGTCCGCTGCAGGATCTGCGGGCCTGGGTGGCGCTGACCGGGCGGTGGCAGCGGGAGCCCTGCCTCTCCGGTGCTGTCTGTGCCGAGTCGGCGGAGGCCCCGGCGTGGCCGGTGCTTGTGAGTCCCGGGCTGGCTCAGCAGCTGGATTTCGAGTTGCTGCTGCCTTTATGGGGGTTACCTTCCTGCATGAAGGGGAAAGGGAGAGATGGGTCGACTTCCTGGGGGCGAGAAGGGAACGGCGGCCTGTGCAGCCTCTGACCCAGGCAGGTTCTCTCCCTGGAGGTGGTGGCCTTGGTCTCTGGGGGGACAGGAGAGGAGTGGCTGGATGTGCAGGACGCAAATACCCCACCTGTTCCTTCTCCGTCGCGGCTGGGAGGAGAGGCAGGCTGTTCTGTCAGGCCCAGGAGCTGGGCACCCCCACCAGAGCCGTTCCTGCCAAGGTTCTGGCCGCGGCTCCTTCGGCCCATCTTGCTTGGCTCCTCACCAGCCGTCCCTTCTTCCTCTGCAGGCGCCTGAGTCTAAAGGCAGTTGTGGCTCAGGGGTGCTCTTCAGTCTGGTGGCAACCAGAAACCCCAGGAAAAGTCGCCCCTCAGACTCGAGTTCCCTCCCTGAGACACGGCCACCTGCTGCTCCAGGGCCCGCGTCAGTGGTGCTTCTCTCCCGCAGGTGGGGACGACAGCCTGCTGAGGGGCTGGGACACCAGGGCACCTGGCGCACCTGTGTTCACCAGCAGGAGGTAAACCGGGGCCGGCAGAGGCTGTGGCAGCGCCGCGTCCGCCTGCCCTGCGCCTGCTCAGGTCTTGCCCTTTGGTTACAGACATTGCATGGGGGTGTGCAGCATCCAGAGTAACCCCCACCAGGAGGGCATCCTGGCCACGGGGAGGTGAGGCCGCGGCGGTTCCTGGGTCCTTCCTGCCGTGGGGCCAGGGTGCGGGTGTGGGCGGGGCTCGGTCCCGGGTCCTGGTGAGTGGGGCGGGCTTCAGGAGACGTGCCCGCACTGGGGCCCTGTTGTTGGGTTTCAGCTACGACGAGCACGTTCTGCTGTGGGACACGCGGAACATGACGCAGCCGTTCGCAGACGTGCCTGTGCAGGGCGGGGTGTGGAGGCTCCGGTGGCACCCCCTGCAAAGCCACCTGCTCCTGGCGGCCTGCATGCACGGTGGCTTCAGCGTCATCGACTGCCAGCAGGCCACGGGTGAGTGGGGCTCCCAGCTCCTGCCGCAGCCACCAAGCCCCGCACACCCCAGGGTCCCCAGGCCCGGCTGGGATCGCCCCCGAGTCTCAGTTGGCAGCACTGGGCCCTGCGCTGCAGCTCTTCCCTGACCAGCTGGGGTTCTGGAACCTTCTGCATCGCTGGGGACCTCTGTGCCAGGAGCCTGCGCACGTGTCACGTTCCTCGCCACCCTTGGCCCACCTTCTGCCTGTTCTTCCTGCCGGCGCAGTGTGGTCTGCGTGGCCTGGGGCCCCAAACATGCTTCACTGACTCTCACTATGGGCGGAACCAGCACCGGTTCCGCCAGCTCTGCTGGGCCTTCCTGCAGCGTGTGCTATGGCAGGTCCTGGGACTCGCCAGGCATCGCCCTGGCCTGTGCGGCCCTGCTTCGTCCTTGTGCGAGTCAGGTCGCTGTGCCCGACCCCTGCGTGTGGGAGGCAGCAGCAGCCACCCTTCCGGGGCTGTGACTTCCAGCTGGTGACGGCGCTCTGCGCTCACACCCTCACTGGCCCTGGCTTCCCCCAGCGGCTCCTGCCAGCCTCGGCCCTGCCCGGGACCCGGGACCCCCTCAGGGTTGGAGACCACTCATTTCTTCTTCTGGTCGTGTTGCTCTCAGTCCTTCCGCAGCTTTGTGCCTTCTGGATGGAGGCCTGGCCTCTTCCCAGTCCCACCTCCAGCCTCAAAGTTGCCATAGCAACTCACCACCAGGAAACTGCTGGTGTTCAGACTCTGCGCGCTAAGCATGCTGACGCTGACGGGGTGACCCTCCCGCCTGGTCGCATGCCCTGGCCAGTCCCCTCGTCCCTTGTGTGTGGTTCCTCACAGGAGCCCTGTTCTCCCTCCGCCTCACGTGTGCTTTTTTTTTTTTTTTTAATATATTTTATTGATTTTTTACAGAGAGGAAGGGAGAGAGATAGTTAGAAACATCGATGAGAGAAACATCGATCAGCTGCCTCCTGCACATCTCCCACTGGGGATGTGCCTGCAACCCAGGTACATGCCCTTGACCGGAATCGAACCCGGGACCCTTGAGTCCGCAGGCTGACACTCTATCCACTGAGCCAAACCGGTTTCGGCCGCCTCACGTGTGCTTGTTCCGCTTCTCCTGCCTCCCCCTCCCCCTCCCCCTCCACGGGCAGCTCCTTTGTCCTCAGCTGCGCACGTGTCCTGCCAGCCAGGCCGAGTGCTCTCAGGTGCACGGCGCATCACGCCTGGTGTCGGCTCGCCTGTCCGCATCGCATGACGGTGAGGGCGGGCAGGGCCGGCGGAGGGGTGGACGAGACCGGCTCTGCGTAACGTTGCGTTTCCCGTTCTGTCTCCGTCCAGAGAAGAAGCAGGACACGTGCACGATCTCTGTGTCCCACACGCTGCCCAGGTCCCTGCTGTACGGGGCCGACTGGTCCTGGCTCACCTTCTGCCGTCAGCCCGAGGCCCAGCCGTCATCCCACTCAGGGTTCTTGCCCAGCAGCGGCCCAGGAGCCGCAACAGAAGACGAGACTGGGGACCAGGGGCCGGCACCTCCCTGTCCTGACAGTCCAACAGACGACGGGAGTGGAAGCAAGGAAAGGACTCCTCCCCGGCCGTCCACAGAGGACGTGAGGAAGGGCAGCAGCCAGCTGCACAGCCCAAGGACCAAGATCTGTGTCTGTGACTCGGGCATGGAAGCAGACCTTAACATCCACCTGCTGGCCACTTGCTCCTTCTATGACTGCGTTCTTCACCTCTGGGGGTGGGAGAGCAGCTGAGCCGGCCGGGGGGCAGGCCCCGGCTGGGGATCATAAAGACCGTGCCGTGAACGAGCTGCCTCAGACCCTCACTGGGCTTGCTGGTCTCCGACGCCTAGTGTAGGGCTGCATCTCGGGGAATCTGCAGTGTGGACAGCCAGGAGCTGTTGGTTTCTCAGTGACCCTTATCTGCTGGGCCCTTCCAACGGTGACGCTGGCCCTGACTGGTGTGGCTCAGTGGGTATGTCGGCCTGCAGACTGAAGGGTCCCAGGTTCGATTCTGGTCAAGGGCACAGGCCCGGGTTGTGGGCTCGATCCCCATGGGGGGCGTGCAGGAGGCAGGTGATCCATGATTCCCTCTCATCATTGATGTTGCTACCTCTCCATCCCTTCTTCTCTCTCTGAAATCAATTAAAAAAAAAATACACAAAATACGGTGATTCTGGCTGGGAGGGCCTCTCCCGGTTCTTGGGCTTGTCTTCTATGGGTCTGACTTTCAGTTCTTTCTGTTCATTTAAGCAACATTTATAGTAATTGGAGGAAGTTTTTTAAAGCTACTTTATATCACCAGAGGGATTGTACATGAACTTTTAAAACAGCGGTTCTCAACCTGTGGGTCTCGACCCCTTTGGGGGTCAAACGACCCTTTCATAGGGGTCGCCTAAGACCATCCAGCATATCAGGTATTTACATTACGATTCACAATAGTAGCAACATTACAGTTATGACGTAGCAACGAAAATAATGTTATGGTTGGGGGTCACCACAACATAAGGAACTGTCGCGGCATTAGGAAGGTTGAGAACCGCTGTAAAGGATCACCTACCCCACCGAGGAACCAGAAGCACTTACCAAGAGGGTGTGTGCGTGCAGTTGCCTGAGCTGTGGGGGAAGGGGGGGGGGCTGGGGCTGGTCACTTCATGTGGCGGCGGGGACGGGAGCTTCCCGGGGTTGCACATGAGACACCCAGACACACACTGGGCTCCTGACCCCCGGCTTTCAGACCGTTCATCGTAGGGGCCACTGTTGGACTCGCCAAATGGTCAGCGTTACCGAGGAGGCGGGTGTTGAGCAGCCACGTGGCTTCTGGTTTATTTTCTGATGATGCAACTCAACGTGGGCGGTCAGGGTGTTCTGCTCTTCTAGGCCAGTGGTCAGCGAACTCATTAGTCAACAGAGCCAAATATCAACAGGACAACGACTGAAATTTCTTTTGAGCGAAATTTTTAAAACTTAAACTATACAGGTAGGTACATTGTTATTAACTTAATTAGGGTGCTCCTAAGCTGGCCTTTGCTAAAAACGTCCTCAATCTGATTGAGGGACGTTCGCTGAGGTCGACCCCTTCCACCTCCCCCATCCACACTCGTCTTGTACACCTGTTTCTCCATCTCCTTCCCGAAAACCGACTTCTGCGCATGGGCCTCCAAGTTTCAACGCACTGTACGTGTGCGCCCACACGTGGTATTTTGTGGAAGAGCCACACTCGGGGCCAAAGAGCCGCATGTGGCTCATGAGCCTCGGTTTGCGGACCACTGTTCTAGGCTAACGGGTCGGTTCCGCTCGGCCTTTATAAAGGCCAACAAGCGCTTACGTCCTTCAGAGCTTAGGTTACTGAAGGTCAACCAAGTACTAAGGTCTCAGAGCCCTGGGGTCCCGCCGGGCACACAGGAAGCCAAGTGACCAGAGACCCTGCGGTTCCGGCCTCACCCTCGGTTTGCCCCAGGGGCGTGGCGCCTCCACGTGACATGCCCCCACCCCGCCGCGTCGGTCGGGACCCCGTGATCGGGTCACCCCGGGCCACCCCAGGGGGTCAAGGGCCGAAGGGGCGGACTAGCGGCGCCGACACGTGGCGCAGAGCCCCAGGAAGGGCCGAGACCGCCCTCGGGGCCGCTACCCCCGCCCTCCGTTCCCAATGACCACAGGCCAAACGCGCGCCGAGAAAGCCACCGTCTTTAATGGGCGCCGGGTAAGGGGACGGAGGC